TGAGGGACTGGACGGAGTCTTCGGAGGTGACGTCGACGACGATGCCGTGGAGCTTGCCGGCGTAGGTGTCGCGGTATTCCGAGGTGACGGCGGCGACGCGGTCCTCGTTGATGTCGGAGATCACGACGTTGGCGCCGGCGACGAGGTAGGCTTCGGCGATGGCTTTGCCTAGGCCGCCGCCGGAGCCGGTGACGATTACGGTCGTGCCGGGGAGGCGGGTCGCCATTGTGTGTGTGAGTTGTGTGACAGGTGTCTGTGTTTGGTTGAGAGAGGAGAGGGGCTTGGCCCGAGTGCGGATAGATTGCGGGATGAGACCTTGAAGGTTTGGTTCTGCTGGTTTGACTTTGGCAAAAGTTTTAAGCTTAGATAAGATTGATAAAGTGGTGAGGTCGATTGCGTGATTGAGTCGTGAGTCGTGAGTGAGTTGTAAGTGAGAGTGAAAGTGAGAGTGAGTGAGGATGTCTTAGAGGCTCTCGAAATCTAATGAGTGAGAGCTCCTCCACGTGCGTCATTGAAGGTCGCCGCCGTGGGCCATTTATGTAGAGCTCTGCATCGTCAGACGGGAAGGAGGGGCAGCTGCGGGGCGATCCTTGGTGGGGGAAAGTAGAAAACAGACGTCTCGATTGGGCGCTGACCTTGGCGCCGTTGACGTGCCCGTGGATCGCTCCAGGGCGCTTTCTCTTCTTACCCCTGGGACTTTGAGGTGTGCCATCGTATTCGGTTTGGGACCGTACATTTATTCGTAAGACTGCAAAAGAATTTAGCTTGTCTTGTTTTTCTTGTCATATTCTCTTGCTTATGGTTGGACTACCTACCCTATCTCATGGAAGCTTCCCTGCGAAATCTTCATGGAAATCCCCCCCGCTTCCCGGTTCGCTTCCACCCCACTACTTATGGTCCAGAAGGTCCGGGTATATGGCCTGGGATCATCCCGTGCGGCACGGTTCATTGACCCTGACTTGCTGCATATGTCGCTGTGCTCATCATGAGGATGAATTCTTCATTGCCATGTGCTTCTATGGGACTTTTGGTAGAATCGACGCTCGACGCAGGGTAGGTCACAGTCGCCAATGCCCCTCTTGAGCTAAGTATCGATGTCTGAGGAACCTCATTGTCTTATCGTCTACTCTAGGCAGACAATTTCCTAAGCGATGGTCAATTCTGGTCATGGATGACGGCCTTTGGCTGCAGATCACAGCTCTGCGCTGGAGCCATGAGGTTGTAGCGCATTTGAATCATGAGTGCACGATGGTTGCAAGTCGGTGCGAATACGGAGGATTACCCCCTGTTCACATCTCGTATTCGGGTTTACCATCACAGATTCGCGGTGTATCTGCAACTACACGAGCCCGTCACTTTATTGATTTGTCGTTCTGGCTCTTTGCCTGCTTGATGGGACGAACGCACCCTTTGCGAGCCTTGGCGGTTGATGATTGGGTGTGTTGATCTCGCTGGTGCCGATCTGGGACCGATGCAGGTCGTCACCTTGGTCAGTGACCAGGTCTTCATTATAGATGGACAGTATGTAATGACTGTCTGGGTGATCATGTGAGGAGATGCCAACTTCATATCATAGTTTGGAGCACCACTTCCACAGAGTCCATACAATACCTCATCCGGCAGAGAGATCAGAGTCAGTTCGATTTTTGAGGAGGCTAGCCGTCAGATATGCAAGCAGAAAACGTCATACACCTGTCCGTATTGTAATGAGAAATGCAAAATGACTTCTACTTTTTGTGCTAGAGAGATGGCGTGACAAGAGGCAAGGCATTCATCTCATTTTTCTAAAGTACTTACACCCTCGTCACTGTTGGTATAGACGCATCCTTTTTCTTTTTCTTCTTCTTGTCCGTAATACCCTCATCACCACAAATATCCTCCCATTGATCGAGTGCCGCCCAAGACGAAGGAGACTGCGAGGACCTACCGAACCCAGGAATCACCTTGAAAAGACACTTACCAAAGAACCCCTTCACCTTCCCAGCCACGCTTTTTGGCTCCTTCTCAGCCGGTAAATTGAGGACACTGGTGTTCTGCCAAGGGCTTGTCGACCGGGTTTGGTCCAGACCGTGCGACAGCGAGCGAGTGCCCAGACTGCTCTCTAATCGCTGGTGGCAGGACATATCCAACCCCTTTGTGATATCTAATGAGTCCCAGTAACACACCGGGCACTGGTTGATTCTTGGCTTCTTGTCGAGGTATACCCTTCCTTGGTCTGGACAGTATGCCTTTGCGTGTCCGAAGGTTTCGGGCAATGTCCACGTTCTCTTGTGGCATATGGTGGGGATCTCTTCTTTGGAGATGATGCCGTAGCAGGTTCTGCACTGGTCGACGATTTGTTTGATGCCGCACATGGTTTCTGTTTAGCTGGGGTTGTTATGATACCAAGTTGTGTAGTGCACGTTATCACACTGCGGGTTGGTTGGTTGGTTTTAATGGTTTGAGATGTAGAGTGATATCTCAGTGAGCAAGAAAAAAGGCATTATATAGACTAAAGGATGCGTACCTAAGACAAGACCATTGTTGCTGAATCACTTCCATTGTTTAGTTACCACATGTTATGAATGTTCGACTGATCTACCCATGTTCCTTTGGTTGAAAGGCCTTTGATCATCAAAGCCGCTCATCTGGACAATACAGGCAAAGACAATTGAGTGCAAGAATTTGATCCTGCATACCGGCAAAGAAGTGGTCCTTTCCAACAATTTGTGGCTACACGCAATCCAAGAGATTCCTGTTCCCCAATCGAAGCTATCGGCGGAGTGGATGAGTATTCTGAGATTGACCACATCCAGTAACTTCAGCTTGCCAATTGCCTGTGGCTTATCTTCTTTCAAAAAGAATTGAGCTCCCTCATTCGCGAGTATCGCGGTATTTGGGATGACATCATACTAAGTCATTTCGTCCCGAATGAATTATACCGTCCTCGGTGAGTAGCGGGTAAAGGCATACGTGACTGGGGTAAACGGACCAGACGATGAGTTGTTTTCGTGGGCAGTGAATGGACAAATAGTTTTTACTATTCTCAGTCCTGAGTGTGCGCTTTTACTTATTCGTCACATCGATCACCAATGTCCTGAATTGGTTCTATTGCTGATTGTGCCAGGGCAGACCTGGAATTTTAGGCGGGTGGCGCGGAATCCTCGGGCACCGCTGCCTTGTAGACACTGAGGCACCAAAAAACGTCAAGATTTTATCAACGCGCGCTACGGATTTTAACTTGGTGACTAGAAACCACGTGTGCATCAGAGGGGGGAGAAGTAATTCAAAAAAAAAAAAAATGCATCGCAATCGAAACTTCTCATGAAACAGGAGGCCCTTCATTGCTCTGTAGCATTTGGTGGCCAAAATGTCGTCTGCCATCGGGATGGAGGCGGTCGTCGCGGTCAGTTCATCCCGCAATCAGCCATTTTGAGAACCTTCAGAAGCTTTCCATCACAGGACTTCACTAACAGAAACTTGCAGGCCGCAGCGGGAGCCACATTGAGTGTAGACTTTCTCATTCATCCCATGGACACGCTCATCACGCGGATGCAATCGCCAATGTACACAACGCAGTACAAATCCGTCAACGGCGCCGTCAGCCGGACGCTCTTCCTCGGGCTGTACCAGGGGTTCGGCCCCACCATCATCACCAGCATACCGTCGTCGGCGGCCTTCTTCACGATTTACGAGGGGCTCAAGGGTTACTCGCTGCGCGCCAAAGAGGAGGGCCGTTTTGCTGGCGTGCCGTTGCCTGTCTTGTACGGGGCGAGCGGCGCGGCGGCGAGTCTTGTTAGCTGTGCTATTACGAATCCTGCCGAGGTGTTGAAGCAGAATGCGCAGGTGTATCGGAGAGATTCTCCTCAGTCAATGGGAGGGGGCAGTGGTACGTCTCCGACGATGAACACGTTGAGGCGTTTCGCGAAGCAGCCGACCAAGTTGTGGGCTGGGTATACGGCACTTGTGGCAAGTGATTTGCCCAATACCACGTTGACGTTTTGTCTTTACGAGACTCTCAAGGAACGTTTCCTCGGAGGGGAGGGGAAGGCCGAGGACAGGAGTGCGTCGCAGCAGGTTCTCGCGAGTGGACTGTGCGCTGCTGCCGCCGGCAGCGCGTCGTCGAGTTTGTTTGTGCCTATCGATGTCGTCAAGACGAGGATGAGGCTCGCGGCTGGCGGAGACGTGACTGGCGAGAACGGTTCGCCAAAGACGCCGAGTAGTTCTCCTCGTGCAAAGATTGGTCCGATTGCGGTGGCCAGGGGGATTGTCCTGAAAGAAGGTGTTCGAGGGTTGTTTAGAGGGGCCACGGTAACGGTTTTGGCGGCGGGTTTTGGGGGTGGGTTGTATATTGGCTGTTACGAGGCCATCAAGATTTATCTGAGCTAGAAAGGCTTTCAGATTGTACACTATGTAGAACAAAACTCACTTAGACGACGGGGACGCAAGTCTTGTAATACCACTCTTCTCGAATCAGCATATTTAAAGGCATCCAGATTGTGCGAATCAGAAGCACCCTTGACTGCAGCTCAACGAGATTAACATGAGAATACTGCCAGTGTCGAGTGAGCGGCCGAAGAAAGGCGGGATGATGTCTGGAAACCCACGTCTTCCATCATCTGAATATACACAGGAAGTCCCATTTGGGTCCCCTCAATTCCACTCCTCTCATCAGCCAGAAAGCGTCCGTCTAGGTTGACTGGTCAGGACAAACCGGCTGGATGGTGGAATGATTTATGGTCAACAATCAATAAATACCCCAACCAGCTGCTCGGCGACAGACTTAACGCATACAAGTATGCGAGGTCGAATCCCGACATGAGCGCCAATATTTCCCAGCATGAGCACCAAGAGATGTAGCCACACCGGTGGTTAGCTCTTTCTTTTCTTCCAATCCACATCTATATTCAACACTATTGGCATTTCAGGATCACTATGTGAGAGCTGCGATACGATATACAGAAACCTCCTCCATTAACTAACCGCCTGGCTACTCGCAATAATAGTAACACCGCCTGCTTTTAGGCATCGGCAGCGGCCTGGCCACACTGACCCGCGACAACCTTGACGTCGCCATTGACATCGCACTGGCCGTCTGCTTGGCAAGCGCCAGCACCAGTTCCATCGGTGCAAGCCAGGCCAACAAAGTCGGCCGCCGCGTCGGCGTCCGCTGCTTGATCGGCGTTGTCGTCGGCGTTCGCATTGTCATTTGCGTTGTCCTGGTTGTTATTGTTGTTGTTGTTGCCATTGTTCTGGTTGTTCTGATTGTTGTTATTGTTGTTCGCGTTGCCATTGTTGGCATCAGCCGCGGCATCGTCCGCAGCGGCGTTGTCCTGGTTGTTGTTATTGTTGTTCTGGCCGGCGTTGGCGTTGCCGGCATTGGCATTGTTGTTGCCGGCGTTGTTGCCGGCTCCGTTTTGGCCGGCGTTCTGACCTCTGTTGCCGCCGCCGCCGCCACCGAATTGAGGAGCAGGTGCTGTACGGAATCCATGTCAGTCTTGCAAAGTCTCTCTTGAGAGGAGGATGTATAGGGGAATGCTGAGCGAATGACTTACCAGTCAAGGCATTGCCTGTGAGAAGACCAATAACAAGGAGAGTGATGGTTGTGTAACGCATCTTGAGATATGCGCCGCTTTCCTATAGATACCTAGGAAAAAAGGAGGAGGAGAATAGGAAGGTTGGATAAAGATGGGATTGGCCGAATCGAAAAAGTGCACAGCACTGGAATGAAGGTTACAAACAAGAAAGAGAGCACCGACTTGGATCACACAGTGACTGAGGAGGGAAAGGAAATGATCATGCTCAGCTCGAAGAATGGTCCCGATCCTTATACTTCCCGTCCATTTCGCCCACAAGTGCTGTCCCATCAGACGGGCCAACAAGAAGTTCACCAGCCCAAGCAAGAGCGTCAATCGCTCACGCCCAGGAGACCAGACGGCTGGGCGTCAGACATCCGATCTTGGCCAATACCCACGACAAGCATTCCGCTACATCGGAAGTTTAGATGGCATGCCCGTCGTCCGGAAAATCTCAAACACGGGCATGGGGTTTCTTCTTCTTCTTCCGCCCCCTGTTGGATGGAGACACCTACCTCATCTCCCCTGGCCGGGTGTGATGGAAAACCTTGAATACCTTAAAAGTACTCCGTAACAAGGCAAACAATTTGAACGAACCAATCCAGAGCCACCGAACCTCACGCGACCAGCCTTGTCGGACCCCCTTGATGAGGCGTCTATAAGCTTCAATTCATGGCTATTTTTCTGGGGAGAAAGAAGGCGAACCCGGACCCGCCCACCGTCGGCCGGGTGTTGAACGTGCAGCGGGACATGTTTTGGAAACCCATGTCTACCGAGCCGCCCAGGCCTCCAGATGCGGTGGGAGGGAGCAAGGAGTCGAATCACGGATGCGCTGGCTCCTGAGGAGAGGCGGAAAATGGGGAGAGAGAGCTCTCTTCCTGGAGTACTGACTCTTGAGAGAGAGAGCCTCACGGTTCTCTGACGTTACTTCGCTCCTTAGCCCCCCGCATTTTCCCCTGTTTCGACTGAGCTGTGACAGCTGAGCCAGAGGCGTTGCGTAGTCCGATCTACACGTAATGTGGGTGCTGCCCGGGGGCGCCTATTGTGGTTTGTCGCGGGTCTGAGAGATCTCGACTTGGCTTGTATGAAGATGCGAATGGAATATGTCGTGCAAGCCGGGGCTAGTTAGGAAATGGTCTGGATGACGAGTTTGCGCTCATGAACGCTCTCTCAGTGGCTAGGCGTGAAACTTCACATAAATGCCGCTGCCAGAAACAGCGGAATGACGGACAGCGTGTTATATCCGTACGTTAGTTTTCCATTTGTTCCTGAGATTGTGATGCAATGCAGAAATTCTCAATTTCATTCTGTTCCATGTCGCTGTGAGGAAGGCTCACGACGTTGCCGGCAAAGAGCACGGGCCAAACGGGTACGAAGTCTAAAACGGCCAATTTATCATCAGAGCAAACGGGAGAGAAAGAAAATTAAACAAAACGTATGCAAAACTTTACCACTCAAAACCTGTTTGCTGGCTGCTGGCCATCACAAACAAAGCGATCTGGATGTCAATAGGAACAAAACTCAAAAAGAAACATGCGGCCAGTGTGGATTGAACACACGACCTTCAGATTAAGTGATTGAAGTTGACTTCAGTCTGACGCTCTCCCAACTGAGCTATGTCCGCCGCTGGTAAAAGTTCAACCCCTGGGGGTTATATATACCGCTTAGCGTGGATATCCCAGCGATGGTGGCCCCACCGCGGTTGGCAGTCCCGCAGTCAAGTCGGGAAGAAACGAGGCCGAAAGCTCGCGTCTCATAAGGCCGGTCCGATGTCTTCTGCTGTGCACGTTAGCACGAGACAATCAGAGAGCGAGTTCTCTGAGAATTACAAGCTTGCCATCGTTCTCTCTTCACGGTTGACCCCAGCACCCCTAGTGCGTGGTGACGGAAAACAGGAAGGAGCCACGCCCCTCGGAAAGGGACGAGATGCCGTAAGTTACCTGTCGCCCGGCCGGTGCTTCCACCTTGGGATCCGTCAAAAAATACCGAATGCAGGTACCTCAATTCAGGTTCCTAGATGTACCTAAGATGGCACTGGAAAATGGAAGCCACGACCGTCCTGGCCTGAATTGGAATGATTACATTATCATTTGACGACTACCTCAGGAACCAAACTCCAACGTCAAACATCGCTCCGTTCGCCATTCTGTTTCCCCAACCAGCATTAAATGATCCAACAAAGGAAAAAAACCCAAGCAACAATTCCGCCCTCCGTCCTCAAACTCCAGGTTCCCGAGATGTACCCTGTCTCTTGGTGTGTCTTATGTACTGCGGCGGCGTGATGGGATGCACCAATTGCTAACACCTTCCTAGAAGTCTAGATGAACCCTACTCGGAATTCATCTGCAATACCAGTCGGGGCCCTTAGTCCAAAGTCTGGCCGTCTCGCGTCACCTCGCTCACGAGGCGGAGGAAGCACTGGAGGTGGACTCATTTGCTGAGCCTCTGCCTTTTCTTTCGGTGTCTGCGGTCTCTGGCTTCCGAACGTTGGGCTTGCCAACGGGCTCGGCAACGGCCAGTTCGCGTCGTTGGAGGCCTCGGGAATCAGGCTGTTCGGCGTGGGCGGCTGCGGCGACTGCATGCGAGGTGACACCATTGCGAAGTTTCCGTGGTGGACGTCCCGATCATCCCAGCTAGGAGGCTGATATTGCTGCGGGTTTGACGCCTTGCGCTGAAGCTCGACGGGCGGCGGAGGCTGTCGACGGTTTGCAGGTGTGACACCGTAGTTCCGCTCGCCCTCACCTGGCGCGACCCGTCTCGAGGTCGGCGGGGGTCCAAGGTATCCCTGTGGAGGGGAAGGAAGATCATCGCGAGATCGGCCACCAGAGGCTTTCCTCTCTCTGAGTTCTGGACCTTGTCGTTCACGGCTATCGTACTGGCCACGCTCCCCGTCTCTGGTCGGAGAGACCATTTCTCGAGCATCCGAATCCTGACGCTGTCTCGCAGGGGGCCAATCGTCCAGAGGCCGGGCAGGACTCCGCAGCGGTCCTTCATATGGTACCTGCTGCGGTCTGGGGGGCGGCAAGCCAGCGCTCCTGGGAGGTTCCGGCAGGATTTTCATTTCTGGCGGGCGCGGTCGCCTGGCGCTTCTTGGTGGTGGGCTAACTGGTATAACAGGACTTATCGGAATAATCGGGCTTTCCCGCTCTAGTGTTCGTCCTCGTTCCGCCATACCAAAGTCGAGTCCGGTAGGATCATTGTCGATATCCATGGAGAAGCTCTGCCTTCTTGGGGTGGTGATAGTGAGAGTGTCCCTCTTCGCGGCAACATTCTGGATGATTGGCCTGGGATAGAAATGGTCCTCGTCGCTGGAACGTCCTGCCGACGCGGTTGGGGACGGGAGTGCGGCCGGCCGCGGCCTGTGAGCTTCACGAACAGCAGTGACTGCTGTCTTCGGTCTGAGATCTGTCCTCAATGGCGGGAGCGAACCATTGATGGATTGAGGAGGCGAAGGTAAGGCCTTGATGGGCGACAACGGAGCTGGAGTCAGTTTGTCATCTTTCGACGACTCTGATGGGTTCAGGTTGAATTCGAACTGCCCAAGTGGGCTTCGAGGTGCGTTGGCTGCGGTTGGTGTAGGCAGAGGCGATATATTGTTCGGAGAGTGATAACCGCTTGGTGCAGCACTCGGTGCCGGGCTGAGAGCTCCATCGCTCCTAGGGCCAGCACCATCACGAGCAAAGTGAACGTCGAGAGGGTTGACCCAAGCCTTGGCCCGGGTCGAGTTTGGTGTTCCTGGTCTGCTTCCTGATCCATTGCCACCGGTGATGATCGGTGGAGATGCGATGTTGTTCAAGCTGGTCACAGAAGTGTTGTTCCAACGCATGTTCAAGTTTGCCTCAGATCCAACAGGCCGAATACCCTTGACGGCGGGTGCACCCAGATCGACTAGGGAAGATGAGCCGCCATTGAGGTACGGCGCATTCGGATGACGGAAGTTGGCGGCGAAACTTTTATTCGACATGGCTGTGCCGGGGCGAGATCCGTTGATGAGAATGGGACGGTCCAGATCTTTTCCGAAGAATTGCCCTTGACCAAGCGTGTTTTGGTCAATTTTCTTCCATTGAGGCTTCATCTCAGCCTTCTCAGCAGGTTTCCTTCACAAAGTCAGTTTGCACATCCAGGACAGAGGGCTGGGAGCGCACTTTTTCTTATCGGCCCCGAGTTTCAGCCCGAAAAAAGACACCATGGTTGCGTTATGAAGAGGGTATCAAGAAACTACGTTGGTTAGTCGGATCGACCTTCGAAGCGAGATGGAGGGGTTGGTGAGGGGCATACAGAACAAAAGAAGGGCATAAAAAAGCTGTGAGCTATGCACAGAGAGTGATAGAATGGGCCCAATCCCGGCAATAGACGTCCAGGTCAACAATCGAACGAGTATGGCTATGCGAAATGAAGGAAGAACCAGTTCGAGGGAATTGAACAATTGGTGAAAAGTGCTTGCCACGGCTCCAACGTCGAGCACTCGGAGGCGTAGAAGGCGACCGAGCAGGAACAATGGTGTCGTGAAAAGAGAGGAAGAGCGGCAGTGGTTATTGCATACGTGCCATGTCGCGTCTTTTCCGAATGAAAGTGCTCAAGTTGTGGAGGCAGCGTTGGGTGATGGACAAGGGCGACGATCCTTATTCGCGGCCCCAAGCAATTGATCCGTCACAAGATCAGGGGCCCAGCAGTAATAACGTCCCGAAGAGGGAGGCCAGGATGGGCGAGCTGCCCAGATCAGTGACAGGGCAGAGCTCCGGTGGAGTGGATTCTGGATCGAGACAAGGTTGAGAGAGGGCTTGAGTTTTTGAGCGGAAAAGCAACAAGTGTGGTGAGTCTCTTCTTGGCGGGATGTATGTGATAAAGAGCGATGAGACTGATATCGATCCCTTGCAAAACAAGTCTACAATAGCCACCAGCAAGGAGTCGAGAAAGAGTAAAGAGATGGTGGAAGTTTGTGAAGGGCTGAGACGAGGAACGACGGGAAACAAAAGTCTAAGGAAACGAACCTGCGATGGGGACCTTAACCGGAGCAGACCGAGCTATTGCGACGTCGCC